AAAACTACATATATATACATATATATATATATATATATATATATGTAAGGGATAATGTATAGTGAGCCGGTGACTGTTGAAAAATAACTCCCGACAGGGGAAGAGGGTGGGAGTGAATGAACCCGGTTAGCCTGGGGGTGACAGGACGTTCTCTAGCTTGTGATGTATGTAATTGCGGAAATGAGAAAAAGCAGTGGGCTATTTTATCTTAAAAATAACAACTTTAAATTAAAGCTGCAAGCAGCGATGAATGGGCCCTTGCACCTTCGCGCAACTTGGGGGTGCTGGCAGGACGCCAGCTGACGCTGCAGTTTATTTCTCTCAAAGTCATAAACTACTTCCTATTTCGTGGCGGTACACCTAAGTTTGACGCCTTGCCACGATCACGCGGATTGACGAAAACTAATAACTTTTCTTCTTCAAGGTCTTCCTCCCAATCTTTAGGACTAGTTCGTTAAAATTCAACACGTGGGAAACGCCAAAACTGACCACAGAATTCAAAATGGCCAACTTCCTGTTGGGTTTAGGCAATGGGTCCAAGAGACTTTTTTGAGCATCTGGGCATGATACACGTGTGTACCAATTTTTGTGCATGTTGATCAAACATGCTGAGGGGGCTGCTCTTTAAAGGGCGTGGCCAAGCTATTTTGCCACGCCCATTGACAAAACTCATAACACTTGTCCAGACCTAGACTGTTGAGGAGGATGTGAAGTTTCAGGCAAATTGAACGAAATGCACTTAAGTTAATGCCATTTGTTGTGATATGGCGAATGGTCTGCCTTCGCCCCGCCTTCATGGCAACACCGTTTGATGAAAACTCAGTTTCCACAATAAATCATCATCCAGGTCTTATGGCTTTTTGGACCAAGTTTGAGGTGGATCTGGTCAACTTTGTAGCAGATATACGTCATAGTAAAAAAACATGTCATTTCCTGTACATGTCATTTCCTGTATAAACACACATAATTTTCCTCTTAAGAACTATATATTAATGTGTAAATAAGTAGATATTAGTTCATGGGTATTTGGGGGTATGTATAAACAGGAAGAATGATGTATGTTCATATTGTGTATATTTTCTATATTCATTTATTCAAATATAAAAAGATAGAAAGTCAAGTTGATTCAGATATATATTCATTCATTCATTTATTTTCTGTAACTGCTTATCCTTTTGAGGGTTGTGGGGGGGCTGGAGCCTATCCCAGCTGACATCGGGCGAGAGGCGGGG